TTTAAATGCCCAATATATTTCTTCAGTTTTCTGCTGGGATAACTGGTGGGAGCAAGAGCAGCAGGTAAAAATGGACATCGAAGTTGGACCACGATTCTGCAAAGTGCGGGGTGAAGTACTCAAACGGAATTGAAGTGATGCGATTAGTGAAATGAACAGTGCCAAAGTGGTCCTGTCTCACTTTAAATTGAATACGCGTTTCTAAAATTATTATCCAAGGATTAAAACGTAACCCTCCCACGTATGATTAGACAAACACTCGCTGAAAAGAAATCGCCGCATAGTTCAGGAAAAATTGTATTTCATAATTTTTTTCGTCCTGAAATAAACTGCAGGGGAATGAATCAGCAACGCTCGATTCACCCTCGTAATCCATCGGATTTCGCGCGAGCCGCATGTCAACAAAGCTGTCGGCTCCTAGGACACTATCACCATCTGGTCAGTAAGTGTATCTATACAAATTGGTCATCAAAGAGCGCATTTGAATCGTATTAAATAGTGCAGCCGATATTTCTTTGGTAATTATACTAAAGAAAATGAACAAAACTTGTCAAAATGTCGCGTGATTCTCTGAGATATACTTAGGCCTATAGGATCTCCAAATCATTGAATTATTTTTTTAGGCCGAAATTCTTCTTTTATCGTGAATACAGAACTATTATAAAAGCATTTTTTACCGTGATGATTTTACGTCAACCATTACAGCTAAGACTTATCTGACAAAACTAAACAAAAGACATGATATTACAATTTTTTTGTATCTGGTTTCAACAGAAGAACCATTGGGAAACCAATGTCGTGACTTGGCCGTACACCTTGGTTAAAAGAAATATATAAAATAAAAATAAAATGATTAAATAGGCCTTTGAAAGAGAGCCAAATAAATAAATTTCTGATATATGATATAAGTAACTGATTGGGTACTCAACATGTATGAGTTTTGGCAAAACTTCAAGGCTAACAGCGAAGGAAACAGCTCTCATTTGGCTCAAATTACCTCTACACGGCGTGTTTAATTTCACGGGAAAATAGAAAACAACTAATTCTATAGAAACAGTTTATATAGATATTTCTGCTTGAGTTGTGAAAGGTGTGAGTGCCACAGCGAAAATTTCTGTTTCTGTTACTTGTCGTAAACTTCGTGTTTCAAACTCTCTGTATTAATGAACATGAAAATTAACTTAACTCTTTGTTATGAACCGTAAGGAAATGGAAAAGAAAACAAAGATACTCAGTACTGGAAAACACGTTAAATACAAACCACGGGCTAAAAATCAAATGCACGTTTCACTCGATTGATACATAATTTGCTCCAAATTAGTGACAAATTAGTGACTCCTTTGGCTATTCAGCGTACGGAAGGAAACCTTTTCTTTCCTGTCATAATGATTGATGTCCGACCAATAATTTCATGTTTAGATTTAAGTGACGGGTACACCTGTTGCTACCTAGTGCCTCAGGCTGGGGGCTTTCTTAAGCATTTGCTTCAAAAATATTATAGATGTCTTTTCCCCTATCGTACTTTCATTAAATACACGCAAAGAAGTTAAAGAAGGTGCATACAGTTTGTTTCAGCTGAAGAGCCCGACTAGATCAGAAAATGTTCGAGTCAGCACTCATAGAATTGACCTAGCTATGACAATGAAAGCTTTGACAGGTAGAAGAACTCAAAAGAAACGCAGAGCGCCGAAAAATGAAAAGCAAAAATGAGCTAAATTAGGAAAAATTTAAAGACGGAAAAAAAAAGAGCATATTCGGGTCTTTATTTCTTTTAGTGAATTTCTGAGCTCGATTTATTTAAATGTGTCATCATAATGTTGAGAATTATTCATGGTAACCGTTGTTATTCGATTGTCATTTTGCTTACAAAGGACTGTTGTTGTAAGCTGGTTGAACGTTGCTTGATCAGAAGCTTTATACAGTGATCATTATTAAACCGAGAAAAAGCTTTAGAGGTGGGATTTATTTAAACACATAACACGGTGAGAATATGGGACTGGCAAGAAATTCTGCTTACGCTTTGCGATGTGAGCAGAGATCAGCGATATACAAAGCACATTATAGGCTCTTGGACAGGGGCTTTGTTAATGATCATTGTAGTTTATTATGGTACTGCTTCCCTTCAGAGTTCATTCAGTTGCAATCGACTTAACTTGAAATCTTGAGGATTTCCATTTGGCTGATAAACGACGTGTCGTAAAGGTAGGCACGGAGCCTTCTTGGATCAACATTCTCCATTTTTATTTCTCCAACCGAATCCTCTGTTTTTAAGAGTGCAAGTAAAATTGTTTTGTCAAATAAAATGGAAAGACTTTATTTTTCATTAAAATTGAATTCAAATCGAGAAATTCCGGCTGATGCGAGCATAATAAAAACTGGGGAGAAAAATACTCCTTGCGAAGAAGAATCACACGGAAACGGTGAGGTGATTTTTGACACTTAATTCCTAAACTGACATTTGTTTTTAACTACCATAAGAGTAAATTGACCTTGGCTTGTACCCGCTGTTATGAAAACAAAGCCACATTTTCGCTTTTAGTTTACGAATCTCGGATTATTTTGTGAAAACCTAATCCTTTTGAGAATAGCGTGCGTTTTTGCGTTTTCGCTCGAAAACTTTCCATGGGCCCTTGTACTCTCCCAGAGCGTGGATTTTTGCGAGTACAATAAGGATTACATTGTTAGAGAGCAATATGAGAATCCTCAATAGCAAAACAGTCCCAGTGCGTAAGTCAGCTTTACGGTTATTTATTGAGAAACTAAAAGAGCGTGATTGCTGTCATTCTTTTATTCATGCGAGATTGGAGTGGTGTTGATTAGTTCAAGCTATTTATTTAGCCATCGGGAAATGACTCCATTACATTTAAATTAAAATGGCTGTGCTAACCTAACCATTTCAGAAAATAAAAGAAAACGAAGATTTCAAAGGTATATATTTTGCTAGTATTCCGATACGAAGTGTATTCCAGTTAAAAATCATCCCTGAATCACATATCACAATTCCGCTTGCTCTTTCCATCTAAGTTAGTAATAGGGGTCTTAATTGTTCAGACACAAATTTCGTGAGTATTAAATCACTTTGCCTTGAAATGTTAAATGCCCATTTGAACGCCGCATAATCTGCGTGTTTGGTCCGCTTCTCGTGTTGAAGGGAAAGGCCATCGCTCTGTAACCTCCATTTGGTGCCCATGTAAAGAATAACAGATGACATGGAAAGATGTCATACATTTGGTACACACGCCGAACAAAGAGACAAATCTACCTTTCCTCCGAGGGAATGCATACCTCGGACCTTAACATGAACCAGCTTATCATGAACTGCAAAAAATTTAATCGCCATAGCGAGCCAGGCCTTATACTCTATATTTGCTTTGATTAGATAATTTCGAGAATTACGAGAATCAAATGAAGCATAAACATCAAAAGGCTTTCTAAGAGTCTAATAATATTGTGGGCACTTCGTCGTCGAAACGGTTAAAGATTATGGTTTTCGAGCAATTTTTTCATATTTAACATTTCAGACCAAGGTCTTGCCTGTAGTCAAGTCACATCTGTGTACTGCATTGACAAATCTTCCGTTTTCATGTCAAATAATCTGACTAGCTACAATATGCTGGGTTGTTTGGCAAAATAAAAAGGAAGCAAATGTAGAAAATTTGGGTTGCAGTTTCATTCATCATTGAGATAGCACAACTATGAGTTTGCCATTTTGTTCCTATTTTTGAGGCCCTGCATTATAGAGTTATTTAAAGTGATTGTTCGTAGTCTGTCTACCTTGACTTATCAACTTAGGCCAGCATACCCGCGCATCGAAGCAGGTATAACCTGCCAAAAACAAACTGATTATTTGGTAATTTCTTCGTTGAAATAGAAAAGCCATCAGCTCTCTTCAAAGAAATTGAAAGAAAATAATGTTTCACCAGAAATTTCCCTCGTTTTCTTAAGAAATAAAAATAAAGCATTGTGTTCAGGCACAACGGACCCTCCTGTATTCATAAGCTTTAGGGACGAGTGATTTCTTTTCACTTGGATGTTAGAAGAAAGAGGAAATGAAAAGAAAGAACAAATCATTTTTTTCCTTTGTTCTAAGCTTTGCTCTTTTTCACTGTTATAAGTTTAACGATGGAACCCATAATTTATATTATCAACTGGACGCTTTCAACATTGCTCTTCTTAACACTATGCTTGAAGCTCGTCACGTAATAATCTTTTTTTCATAAATCCACCAGCCGTCCATCGCGAATGTTGCAGTCTGATATGTTGCGCTACTCGCTATCTATGTTGCGACCGACAAGTAGATCTATACTAAAATAACTAGTTTATTAGCTTTCGATTTCTATGCGTGATGTTTAATTCGTGTTTAAAGGCTTTCATTTGAAGTTTTAATATGAGATGGCAGCCCACAAACGAGTTCTCTGGAGCTCATTTGTGAGTGATTTAGTTAGAGCACACATCCTCTAAGTGAATTTACACCTATATCTCTTTGTCTTACGGCTGTGGCAATATTGCTTTACATCTTTTCTTTAACGAGAAAGTGACCCATAAACTTTGTACACAAAAAGGATCCGATAAGTGATCGGCAAGGGGTGGACGGAGAGAAAAAGTTAGTTCGATATTAAAAATCCACCATCATAATGACATGACAGAAATGGGCAAATGATAGAAGATGCAATACTGCATGATGTTTTGCTGGTTGAGGCCGCTTTATTCGAAGTTTTTGTTTGTCTTAGCACGCGCAGTTCGCGATCCTGTTCCAAAGTTCGAGTGTTGGAAACGGAATCGACGAGACAGCGCATGCGGGGAATTTCTGCGCTGAATTTCTCAGTGAATTTCTGAATTTAGGCGCAAATATATCTATTTAAACAGAAAACTGGTTTCATCAGTGTACTGAATCCATATGTGGTGTGTTATTTTTCAGAACTCCCTGATGCATAAGTATTCTACGGATCATTTTATTTTCTGTGCTTTGCTCACTTTTAGCTTAACCCTTAATTAACTCACGGAGGGCCTTCCCCGGTGGAAATAATTTTTTACATGTTTAGAACACTTCATATTTTTCTTACTTAGAGCTTCAATTTCGTCTCTCACAGTCGAAGTCTATTAGGTGTTTTTTTAGTTTTTTTTTGTTGTTGTTGTTTGTGTGTTTTTAGTATGGACTGATAAAGGATGTTCCTGACGAGGAAATGAAACCTCTGGGAAAACGGAGAACACGATGTACGAAACTTGAAAAGGGTATTCTATCCTTGAACAAGCTCAGAGTCACTTTTGTAGACGACTGTATTTCTATGGCAACAAGCACTGCTTGATCAAGTCTGTTTTTGCGCGACTATATCGTCAAAATCAGGAGTGAAGTCCAAATTCATCCAGTAGTTTTTATCTTTGGGAAATCAGAGTTAAAATACACTAAGGGCTGTGTCCTTTCAACGTTTCTCGACTCTTAGTTTTCGCGTATAACAACTGACAAATTGTCAGAAAGATCACCCCTCTTTCTGTGATTGTAAACAGATGGAATGCGTGAATTTACACACGCAGTTCTGGTTTTACGTCCACAACACATCTTCTTCACTTCTTGCTTTATATCTTCCTTCAGTAAAGCATAAATAAAAGGGTTAATGGCTGAATTTGTGATCATGAGAAGCCGAGATGTCAAAACAACCTCAAAAGTAACTTGGCATGGTAAAGAAAAATAGCCACAGAGATTCCTGTACGCCGAGAGCATCCAACATAGCACAAAAATTAATACAACCAGACCAAAGACCCTCGTTGCAGACCTTTCCACCCTTTGCGGCGGGGAATTGAACCTGTTTGCGTGCGTTAAATGTTGATTCTTCGCAAGGGCGCGAATCTGCCTCGAATGCCTTCTGGAAATGGAGAAAATATGTCCGTAGATAAGCAACATCACGGCGCAAGGAAGGAGGTTGAAGAAGATGGTTTGCAGTGTGCCATATATTCTAGAGGCTTTAATTGGATCTACCGACGTGTTAGAGAATTTCCACGCGAAAGGAACGAGAGAACTGATAATCGGTATGATCCATGCGGTTAATATCCACAGTAAAACGCGAGAATTCGTCATGTTCTGCTGATAGGTCAGCGGCTTCACCACGAAGAGATACCGGTCAGCGGTCATCGCACACATGTTGCCTATGGAGACAAAGAGCAGAAGGTCGAAACTTCTTCTCAAGACATAGAAGTTACAGGTTTTCGTCCATAGAGCACATGCGGAAGAAACAGGGATCAAGAAAATCCCAACAAAAAGGTCCGCCAGCGACAATGACAGAATAAACCAATTAGCTGCCTTCTGGAGTGTGTGACACCTGACAATGACATAGATGACAGGAGTGTTTCCCGCCAAAATGATCAAACCAAGCAGACCCCTTAGAATCCAGTACCACACCCCCACTCGTGAAGTGAACTCAGAGGAAGTAGTTGTACTGTTAGACGTGATGTTTTCCATTACTTTGTAAGATCGAGAAGCTGTGCTTTAGTGTTAGTGTAGTACTGTGGATTTGCTGTTAACTGTGAAAATAATGAAGAGACGAGAGAGTAAGATGAATTTACAAAAAAATGAACTGTTGCAATGTTTCTATCGGAACATATAGCACGTGGTGGGTTTTAGTCCTCAATAGAAATTAAGAGGGGAGAGGAGCTTATGACCAGTCTTTCATTGACATGGATTAACAACTGACAATGTTTCATATTATAATAAAGCTCGGATATAACACGTACTGTCATTGGTTGAAAGAGC